CTGGTCTTCAGATAATCCCAGCTGGTGTGATTTGTGACTACGTTGGAACGCGTAACCGGTGGCATGGTTAAACATTTTAACGTAATCCTGCGCAGTTTTTACAACGGTGGAATGTGTGACCGCCCATTAGGTGAAGCATTCTCAGCTGTTCCAGGGCAGATCGGCATCGTGGATCGCATGTGCAAGAGAACCGATCTGCCCTGGAACAGCTGAGGGGTCCTGAAATGTCACTTCTATCCGACTCTGTGAATGCGGTGGAATGCGAGATCGCAGTCACAGAGTCGGCTGCAAGTGACATTTCAGGACCGATCAGCTGTTCCAGGGCAGATCGGTTCTCCAGCACATGCGATCTGTGATGCCGATCTGCCCTGGAACAGCTGAAGAAGCGTTGGAATGCTTCACCTAATGGGCGGTCACATATCCCACCGTCGAAAAACTGGGCGGGATTACGTTAAAACGTGTGACCACGTGACCGGTCACACATTCCAACGCAGTCACAAACTTTGATAGAACACCGGATCTTCTACCACAGTAGGAACAAGGCCTATCCAACAATAAATATTGTCACGTTATGGAGGCGCCTGCAACGATTGGGCAAGGCTTGAAGGGTCAATCTACCCAAAACAGAGATTTAAAACCCAACTCTACATAAAATGTTCCTTCTCGATTTGAATGGGAGAGAACCATACTGTTTTACTGCCACCTGTGACCCCACTGAGATTTCCTCTCACTTCCTGTCCTGAAGATGAGTCAGAGGAACAGGAAGCAATGTAAAAATGCGGAGCAGAAAAAGGTCAGCATTGCTTTCTCTGCTTTCCTATCCCGGTGACCCCGACTCCCTTATTTGTTGCCCTGGTGTATAAAGAGTGTCACCGTTCTTAGTTTTAATAGAGTGGGCTGGGGTTAGAACCCCGTCAGGTTGCTCTGTAAGAGAGATTTACCTTCACTTCCTGTCGACAAAATGTTACCGGACAGGAAGTAAGAGGAACTCTACTAGAAAATAAAAATACTTTATTAAAGTAGGGGAAGGTTACAACCCTCATCAGCTTACTATTGCCTGTTGCAGACTTCCCTCACTTCCTGTCTGGTGAAACTATTGCCAGCACGACAGGAAGTGAGAGGAAATCAGAGCTCCTGATAGCAGTAAAGACCCAACAGGAGTTCTAATCCTTCAATAAATAAATAAGGAAAATGTTTTTAGTTTGACTTACACTAGTGCTAGAAGGTTACACCGACTCCAGCTGTGTGTTCCCATTGGCGAGATTTCTCCCCAATCATGTTTTAAGGAACAATGGGAAGTGAGAGGAAGTCCCGGCTTTGCCAACTATCCCTGTAAGAGGTGTCCCCACCAAGAGATTTCCCCTGAATTCCTGTACTGGTGGCACCTGTACATGATGGGACCTGCCTTCATAGGTCTGTGTGGGTGATGTAAGGGTCAATAAGCCCAACAGGGACACAAATTGCAACGAAAACCCAACAGAGTCTAAGCAGAAGCCAAATAGTGTGTCCAGCAATAACAGGAAGTAACAGGTGTCCCCACCAGGATATTTCCCCTTACTTCCTGTACTGGTGACACTTGTATGATAGGATCTGCCTTCATGGTCTGTGTGGGTGATGTAAGGGTCGATAAGCCCAACAGGAACACAAATTGCAACGACAACCCAACAGAGTCTAAGCAGAGGCCAAATACTGCGCCCAGCAATAACAGGAAGTAACAGGTGTCCCTACCAAGGGATTTCCCCCCTTACTTCCTGCACCTGTAAATGTTGGGATCTGCCTTCATGGTCTGTGTGTGTGATGCAAGGGTCAATCTGCCCAAAAGGGACGCAAATTAAAAACGAAAACCCAACAGAGTCTAAGCATAAACCAAATATTATGCCCAGCAATAACAGGAAGTAACAGGTGTCCCCATAAAGAGATTTCTCCCTTACCTTCTGCACTAGTGGCACCTGTAAATGATAGGATCTGTCGTCATGGGTCTGTGTGGGTGATGTAAGGGTCAATCTGCCCAACAGGGACACAAATCACAACGAAAACCCAACAGAGTCTAAGCAGAATCCAAATTGTGTGTCCAGCAATAACAGGAAGTAACAGGTGTCCCCACCAGGAGATTTCCCCTTACTTCCTGTACTGGTGATGGGACCTGCCTTCATGGGAGCCGTCTTCATGGTCTGTGTGGGTGATGCAAGGATCAATCTGCCATACAGGGACGCAAATTAAAAACGAAAACCCAACAGAGTCTAAGCAGAGGTCAAATACTGTGCCCAGCCATAACAGGAAGTCTGCTGTGTGAAGCAACATATAACCCCCCTCACCTTCCCCAGGAAGTCCACTGTGCTTTGCAAGATATCAACATTCTCCTAGAAGTTCTGCTGTGTGCAGCAAGATATCAAACCCCCTCTGGAGGAAGTCTGCTGTGTGTTGCAGGATATCTTCCCCCAGAGGAAGTCTGCTGTGCGCTGCAAAATAAATTCCCCCACTGAGCAAATTTCATCTGCTGCTTCCTCAGCTCGGCCAAACTCCTGGCAGCAACTCAGCAAGGAAATTAATATTGCTGGTACAGCAAAGCCTTTGATGCTGAATGCAGCCATGTGACTGAAGTGAAACTCATCCAGCGCAGGTGCTGCAGCATCCGTCCTCTGCATCCCGCTCACCGATAACAAGGAACCGTTCTGAGCTCCGTGCTTCCTCTGCACAGGAAGTGCCGCTCTCTGCTCAGGACAGTCCTAGTGGCTGCATTATGGGTAATGGCTAAATAAACAGACCGTGCAAACAAAACCAGTCTTCTTTCTTTAATGGACGTTTCCAATGTAAGATCAGCCGCATCCCTACTTACCCTCGCAGGGCAGAGTTACTGTGACGTCGGCTGTTCCAGGCAGTAATGCAGCATAGTGCCCTGCGTCTCCTGTCACATGGTGGACAGAAAGGGGGGTGGGGAGGGAAAGTGAAACTTTGCTGCACTTATCACCTGATTGGCTCAGCAGTACTTTCTATTTCTCCGCTGGAAGTCCCAGAGCTCTACCACATTCTTTTACATTGCGCTGAGACCGGGATCTATTGCCACAGCAGATAAAGAGAACCTGTCCCCGGAAAATATATTATAGAACAGTTTTTTTTTTTTACAGAGCAATTAAACAAATCTTCACGTCTCCGGGATCCCAATATACAGACACGGGCTGGTTAGTGTTTTTAGGGGGGAGGGGGGGTTGGCAACCTATCGATTGCGTGTGTGTGACGGGTGGTGATCGGCCTCTCAGATCAGAGACACAACAAAGTGCAGAGACGAGGGAGACGATAGGCTGCTCTTCAGTTCTGATGTGTCATGTGACATAGCCGAGGAGAGATCCGGGGGGTGCGTCCATCTCTCTGCTGGGTGACACTGCATATGGTGACTGCATTTTACAGGGGGGGGGGGGGATTTTATCTTGTGTGGGTGATTTTAGTTCAGGGTGTAGATGTTTGTACTGGAAGGGGGGGTGCTTATTTGGGGGCAGAATCTTGACCTCTGCGCTGTGTTACATTCTTTTGACCCCTGCATTAGAATCTACTGACCCCTATTACTACAGAAAAAAACAACTGCACCCTGCGTTACTTACTACTGACCCCCATGCTCTGTGTTATACTCCTGACCCCTGCATTACATACTGCTGACCCCCGCGTGCCATACTCTTGACCTCCGCACTCTGCGTTACATACAGCTGACACCCGCGCTTATACTCTTGACACCAGCGCTGCATACTCCTGACCCCCGCGCTCTGCGTTACATACTTCTGACCCCCGCTCTCTGCGTTACATACTCCTGACCCCTGCATTTCATACTCCTGACCCCCCGCGCCCTGCGTTACATAATCCTGACCCCTGCTAGCTTACACAGCAGCATCCAGACATGGGACTTCTCTCATTAGAGGTCATTTGTTTTTACTCCGCAATGGTGAAAAACACGTCTCTTCCCGGAGTTCAGCTATAAATAAAAGCATGCTGCACCCCGGTGATCCCTGATCTCTTCCATGCAGATCTCCATCTCCCCAAAAGTGGATCTATTTTTTTTTTCAGTGCAACCCTTACTGCTCCTCTCTCTCTCTCTCCTTGTGCAGGGTGACTGGTCTTGTCTCCGCCCTCCCTGTAGCTTTCTCCAAGCAGTCTGTAGTGGGTGGAGCCTGCTGGGCCCCTCCCACAGCTCTGTTCTCTGTCACTGCTACTTTGACAAGGTCATATCTGGGTTTATAACGCCATTTAGTGCTCACAAAGGGCATTTGTATCCTTTGTACCTATATGAGGAATTGTAATGAAAGTGTCCAGAGGGAAGCCGGGGATCAGACGGGTTCCTGCAATCTGATGGACAGCCCTCGGCCACTGAGCTGACACTTGTAGCTCTCAAGCAGTTGGAGATCCCCATTATGTCTACCAAGGTTTCAGTCTCCACAGATTAGGCATGCTGGTACTCGTGGTGCCCCCAGAGTGGTAATGGCTGGTCATAATAATATAACAGCAACCCCAAGGTGGTCATGACTGGGCATGCTGAGACTTATGGTGCCCCCAGGGCCATAATGGCCTAGCATAATAATACTTAAGGTGCCCCCCACAGTGTGACTATAGCTGTGCATACTGGTGCCTGGCACGCTGCTATTGTGCTCCTCCCCCAGTGATAACGGTCTGGCATACTAGTACTTGTGGTGCCCCCGGAGGTCGCTGGTTACCTCAGGCCGCTCTCTGCTGATGGGGGACATTCACAGCTCGGCCCTCCGAACTCCTCGCCGTTCGCTCACACCACAGCTCCGCGCTGATAGGCCAGGTCCCGGCGCGGCCCCTCCCCTCGCCACACGCTGATTGGCCACTCACCCGTCCATTGATCACACTCGGCCTTGCAGCGGTGGGAGTGAAGGCCGCGCTCCGATTGGCTGCAGAAACACCTGCTGTAGCGAGTCATAGGCGTGCTAAAGTCACATAGAGCCACGCCCCCTGACTCTGGCCATTGAATAGGAGCCCCGCCCCCTTACAGTCACATGTCCCGGAGGCAAGCTTCCTTGAGTTTGTTTACCTGTAGCCACGCCCCCTGACGGTACAATTACATGTAACCCCGCCCCCTGACAGTAAAAGTATCTGGAACCCCACCTCCTAACACGGTGAATACCTGGAACCCCACCCCCCGACTCTGCAATTACCTGGGGAGCCACCCACTGGCAATGTATGTACGTAAAGCCCCACCCCTGGCAGTATATGCACTTATAGTCTAACCTGCTGATACCCGTAGCAACCCATGATGTGCAAAGAGATTTTGTTGCTACCAGCAGCATCTCCTCTCATGCTGCATCTTCCATATATCTGGAATTCTTATCTCACACCTGAGCAGGCAGGACAGGTGCTCTGACTGGTATGTGGGCCCCCCAAAGAAGCGGGTGGAGCCAGGAAATTCTGGGCCCTGTTCTGTAGTGCTCAGGACCGGCGGGTCCCTCTGGGCCCGCAGGAAAGAATTCTGGAACCCTGTCTCTGTGAGAAGCCTCAGGTAGAAGCTGCCTTCTATACCCAGTCCCTTGGCCAGTGTCCTCACAAGCTTCAGCTTCCGTCTGAGGCTTCCCTAGTGGGTTTTTTCCCCACTTTGTTTCTATGTAACAATGTAACATTCCTTTCATTTTTAATGGTTCTTACAAAGAATAAGTACATATATTACAGTTTTTACAAAGTCTTCCCTGGATCGGGCTCCACCTGTACTTTTAATGCTTCCACGCCTGGAAAAGCGCATCAAAACCGCAGTTCATTGCAGCCTGTGGGGCCGTTCACGCCGCAGACGCGCGCTGTGCAACCTGCTGCATGTACCGGTTTGAGCGCAGCAGCTAAAAGGGACCGCCAAGCCCGATCCCAACCCTAAAGACCTCTGGGGTGAGAGTCGGGGGGCTTCTTTATTCTGCACCGGTTCTAAGAGGTAGTCTTCACTGAGGTAGCTGAAGCCGTCTTCAAGAAAATGGCCGCCCGGAGACAAACTCCTGTGACCTGAAAAGGAAAATATCATGGGGGGAAGTCCTGGCCGCCCCATTACTGGTAGTCGTCGGTCTCCACCGAACGGACGGGCCCGTGTCCTTGTCTGTTATTCCGTGAACAGGAACGAGCTGTCCACCTTCTCGTCTTCGTAGAGCTCGATGTCCTTCATCAGCTTCATTTTTGCCACGTTCACCTCTATCCCCCACGACGGGTCATCGCTCTCTGCTACAAAAACACAAATCAGGGGGATTTTTACAAAATAAATAGCACCAACGTGTCTGTAACGCAGCGCGTGCAACAAAATGCATCCCCTCCGAACGTGGTTTCACTTTTGGAAATAAGCCCCACCCACTTATCACTTTCCCCCGCCTCCTTCTCCTCCAGTGAACGTGCCGCAGTGGCTATTACGGATGCTGTCATTGGGCAGGGGTAAGTTGGGTGGGAAGGGCTTATACCTGAAGTAAGTGGAGTCAAGGTCAAAGTAAGTGATCCCAGTTTCAGAGGGGCACACCGTGGAGGGTTTTAATACTGGTAACAGCAGCCACCCTGCTGTCTCTGCCCTTAGGCATGACTTTCCCTTTAAGGGCCCGAAAAGAGTGCCCGGTAGGGCCTGCAGCCTCTTGCCACTAGCCCTCAAATCTCTCTGCAGACTGTAGTTTGGGATAGGCCCCGCCTATCTTTCCCAATGGGTCTACGTCGCATAAGGGTCTACATAGGAAGCCTGTAGAGAGCCTTCAGTGGGAGGAGTTGGGAATCCTTAGAATCTAGAAACACGGGCTCATTATTAGGTGTTCCCGGATTGTGAGGTTACCAATAGGGTTGGGCTCGACGTTCGCCGAACAGACGAACTATAAGGGCGCTCGGCGGTATGTTGGCCCGCTAAACGCCCCACAGGGTAATGTGCCTTGTGACTCCCTAATTGGCTAAAGGCTTGCACAGGTCAGGTGCAAGTCTTCGCCCCATCAGGGCACAGAGAACAGCGAGAGCCATGATTGGGCAAAGGCATGATGACTCCGCCCAATCATGGCTGACCCTGTTACAACTGTAAACAGCTGGGCGGAGCTAGCTGTCAGCGCTAGCTCCGCCCAAACGTTTATATGTTACCGGCATCTGTCAAAATGCCATTATGCGGCGGGTGTTCGTCGCGAGCGGACGGTGGTCGTCGTTTTTTAAAGATGATTATTTCTATTTATTTTTTTATGTCGTCGTCGTGGACAACGCTGGACGCCGTGATTGGCGTTGGATAACATCGGTGGATCCATTTTTTTTTTTTTAAATAAAGGATTTTTTTCAAAAGTCTGGACTTTTTATTTACAATTTTATTTAACCCTTTAGTGAATGGGTACCCCTTACTCATTCACAAGGGAGGGGGGCAGCATCTGGGTGCCACTTTATTAAAGGGGTACCCTGATGTGAATAAGCCCCCCTGCCCGCAGACCCCCCACAACCAGCGCCCCAGAGCTTGGGCACGGGGACAAGGTGCTTTTACGAGTACTCGCCCCAAATACTCGGTATCGGCACCGATACCAGCATCGGTATCGGTGCATCCCTAATCAGGATCCGGACACTCACATGGGCTTTTTAGGTCCCGGGAACGCAGGTCGCCAACATGTCCACGGGCGCACGGTCCCGGCCGAGCACTGCAAGAAGGCGACTCGGCCCCTAGGTCGTGCCACGCCCCCCCAGGGGACAGCAAGTAGTTGCCGGAGTCGTCCAGCTCGCAGGGGGTTCCGCCGGCTTCCTGGCGGCACGCGGTCCTCAGATCCAGGCGGTGCAGGGCTCCGTAGGCTGCGGATGGGCTCCAGCAAGATGGCCCCCCTTGCGCGCGGCGTGGGGACAACGATTCCTCAAAGTCGCTCTCCTCCGGGACGTTCATGCTGGACGTCTCTTCTCTGGACTCCCTTAAAGGGGCCTTGAGCGCGTTTTGTGCTTTTTCCATCATGGCGGTGACCTGGGAGACATCAAAACATTGTCAAAATCGTAAAATTGTGATATGTATCATTCTAGTCATACGCATTAAAGATGTTCCTGGTTCCTAAAAGTGGACTTCTGATGTGGGATGAGGACAAATTGCTCCACAGGCTACCAATATGCTTCCTCGGGAGACATTGGAGGTACATATGATGATATGCCACCGTCAGTTATGTGATGAACCAAATGGAGGTCAAACCCCCAGTAGAAGGAGGAAACCACCAGAGATGAAGCTACTGAGGGATACTCAACCATCAACGAAGAGCATGTTGAGTAACTATAGTCCTCTAATGGATAAGGTAACATCATCCAGATCAGCCTTCCAACCAGAGTTCCTCCAGAGGTTCCTGGGGGTTCCTTCAGCAATCTGCACCTTTCAGATGAGTTTTCACTAAAACCATTGATCTTTTCAGCTATCTGTTAGGGGAGCATTCTCACTGCTCACGGACCACCAGTGTAATGGGGATCTTCTCCAATGACAAATGGGCTTGGAGACCATTCTCCACTGACCACCAATGTAACAGAACACTTCACTGGCCACCAGTACAATGGGGATCTTGTCCAATGACCACCAAGCTTGTGAACTATTCTCCATTGGGGATCTACTCCTGTAACAAGCAAGCTTGGGGACTATTCTCCACTGACCACCAATGTACTGGTGCACATCACTGTCTTCCAGTGTAAGGGGGATCATCTCCAATGACAACCAAGCTTGGGGACCATTCTCCAATGACCAGCAAAGTAAGGAGTACTTCATAGACCACCAGTGCAATGGGGATCTTCTCTAATGACCACCAAGCTTGGGAACCATTCTCCAATGACCACCAATGTACTGGCGCACTTCACTGACCACCAATGTAATAGGCATCTTCTCCAATGACACGTGAGCTCAGGGACCATTCTCCATCGTTTGCCAATGTAACAGAGCACTTCACTGGCCACCAATGTAATAGGCATCTTCTCCAATGACACGTGAGCTCAGGGACCATTCTCCATCGTTTGCCAATGTAACAGAGCACTTCACTGGCCACCAATGTAATAGGCATCTTCTCCAATGACACGTGAGCTCAGGGACCATTCTCCATCGTTTGCCAATGTAACAGAGCACTTCACTGGCCACCAATGTAATAGGCATCTTCTCCAATGACACGTGAGCTCAGGGACCATTCTCCATCGTTTGCCAATGTAACAGAGCACTTCACTGGCCACCAGTATAATGGGGTTCTTCTCCAGTGAACACCAAGCTTGGGAACTATTCTCCAATGACCACCAGTGTAACAGAGCATTTTACTGGCTACCAGTGTAATTAGGTCTTCCAATGAAAACCAATGTAAAGGGGACACTACACTGACCACCAATGTAAGGAGGGACTACACTGACCACCAATGTAAGGAGGAACTACACTGACCACCAATATAAGGGGGGGCACTACACTGACCACCAATGTAAGGAGGAACTACAATGCCCACCAATGTAAGGAGGAACTACAATGGCCACCAATGTAAGGAGGAACTACAATGGCCACCAATGTAAGGAGGAACTACACTGACCACCAATGTAAGGAGGGACTACACTGACCACCAATGTAAGGAGGGACTACACTGACCACCAATGTAAGGAGGAACTACACTGACCACCAATGTAACGAGGAACTACACTGACCACCAATGTAAGGAGGAACTATACTGACCACCAATGTAAGGAGGAACTACACTGACCACCAATGAAAAGAGGAACTACACTGATTACCAATGTAAGGAGGAACTACACTGACCACCAATGTAAGGAGGAACTACACTTACCACCAATGTAAGGAGGAACTACACTGATTACCAATGTAAGGGGGATGTTTTCCAATGACCACCTAGGTTAAGGGACCATTTTCTACTGACCACCTATGTAATGGAGCACTTCACTGACCACCAGTGTAAGGGAACTTCTTCAATGACCACCAAGCTTGGGGATCATTCTCCACTGACCACCAATGTAGCGAAGCAGTTCACTGACCACCAACGTAAGTAGGTCCTCCACTGATCACCAATTTAAGGGGGCACTGCACTGACCACCACCAATGTAAGGGAGGTACTTTTACACTGACTACCTATGTGCGGGAGCCCTACAATTTCCATGGTCTGCGTTTCTTTTCTGGTGATTATTATTATTGATCATTTCGGGCCAGACCTCCCATACGGATCCAGCAAGACACTGATGTACTGTCACTGTTCCTGATGCACACCCGCGGTCCCATTAGAGGAGATAGAAGATGAAACTACTAAGAGTGCTGAATATCTGCAATTATGTTACCATTGGATGGTGAATATCTGCAACTATGTTACCATTGGATGGTGAATATCTGTAACTATGTTACCATTGGATGGTGAATATCTGCATCTATGTTACCATTGGATGGTGAATATCTGCAGACTGGAAGCTCAGTGGAGGGATATGTGGAGTAATCTTGGTCTGGGAGGCAGATCGGAGGCAATAATGGATAAAAACTTTCCCAACACATCTCCCACTGACTGCCAATGATCCCTAAAGAAGAACTCCAACCAATAGCCGATTACATTAACAAAGCTGCTTTCATTCCAGGGCTCTATCCCCGCAGTACTTCTTTTTGACCACAAGATGTCCTCGGCCTGATAGTCCAGTCTCAGTCTGAGCCCGAACTGTCCTTGACCCGCCCCCATCCTGTGATTGGACAGTGAAAGGAGAAGCAGCACAGTGCTGAACTCCTCTCTCGGTCACTCTGCTTTCTCCTCTTATCAGCATGCTTCTTGTCAGCACATGGACTGTTTGGCTCCTTGTACTGCTTCTTCCTCTCACACTCCAGCCCTGCTGCACAGAGGCTGCTAGAAGGACACATTACGGTCCTTACACTGCTTGTATTAGAAATACATTCATGAGGTATCATTGTGCCCAATGCGTCCCCCCTAGCGAGTCCTCTGGCAGTCATCTGTCCAGCTGCTTACCTCTGATAACAGAACCTTCTTCTTGGTGAGACACAAGCAGACGGCGAGCGCCAGATAAAGCCCCGCCTCTGGTGGCGCTCTCCCGGGCTTGGCATCGGCGTGTTTCTCAAGCATTGCCTTTGCACACAGGTGCTCCGCGGATTCTGACTTATCGCCGGCGGATTCCGCACACGTTTTCGCCAGATCCATCTCTTTCACAACCAGATCTTTCTGATAAGAGAATAAAAAACCTAGTTTAGGGGCGGAGCCTGCGGGGAAAACAGGCTCGTGGATGGATTCTGCGATGAATAATCTTACCAAGTAGGCGGGATCTCGGCTCTTGTCGCTCGGCCTGAGTCCGGTCAGGATTTCTGCCAGAACCTGTAGGTGTTAGAGGAGTTGTGGTCAACGTACAAGTTATAGGAGCCCTCAACTGTTTGGGATCGGGGACATGGAGTGGTGACATTGATCGGGGACATGGAGTGGTGACATTGATCGGGGACATGAATTGGGGACATTGGTCAGGGACATGGATCAGAGGTATTGGTTAGGGACATGGACTGGGACATTGCTTGAGTACATTGGTCGGTAACATTGATTGGGGACATGGATCATGGACATTGATCGGGGGCATGGATCTGGGACATTGGTCGGGGTCCGGGGACATGGATCTAGGACATTGGTCGCGGACATTGATCGGGGACATTGGTCGGGGACATGGATCTGGGACATTGGTCGGGGACATGGATCGGGGACATGGATCGGGGACATGGATCATGGACATTGATCGGGGACATGGATCTGGGACATTGGTCGGGGTCCGGGGACATGGATCTAGGACATTGGTCGCGGACATAGATCGGGGACATGGATCTGGGACATTGGTCGGGGGCCGGGGACATGGATCTAGGACATTGGTCGCGGACATAGATCGGGGACATGGATCTGGGACATTGGTCGGGGGCCGGGGACATGGATCTAGGACATTGGTCGCGGACATAGATCGGGGACATGGATCTGGGACATTGGTCGGGGGCCGGGGACATGGATCTAGGACATTGGTCGGGGTCCGGGGACATGGATCTAGGACATTGGTCGCGGACATAGATCGGGGACATTGGTCGGGGACATGGATCTGGGACATTGGTCGGGGACATGGATCGGGGACATGGATCTGGGACATTGGTCGGGGACATAGATCGGGGACATGGATCGGGACAGGGTTCGGGGACATGGATCTAGGACATTGGTCGGGGTCCGGGGACATGGATCTAGGACATTGGTCGGGGTCCGGGGACATGGATCTGGGACATTGGTCGGGGTCCGGGGACATGGATCTAGGACATTGGTCGGGGACATGGATCTGGGACATTGGTCGGGGACATTGGTCGGGGACATGGATCGGGGACATGGATCGGGGACATTGGTCGGGGACATAGATCGGGACAGGGTTCGGGGACACTCCCCTTTAGATGCTCCCTATTTCCATACCACGCCAGCAGAGAAGATGTCGGTCTGTGCAGTCAGCAGCCCTCTCCTCAGGTAGGTGTCCGGCAGGTAAGGTTGGTACTTCTGCAGGTCATGAGTTTTCACCTGAGTGTAACTGGCGGAGGCGTCTGGGCAGAATCGCGCTCCGGAGTGGCCCAGTCTGGGAGAGAAATTTTCATCCAGAAACACATTGGAACTGGGAGGAGAAGGGAAATCAGGAGTCAGGACTGTACTGCAGACCCAGACATGTCCAGACCTTGACCCCCCCCTGTGACCCCCAACAATGAACTTCTCCCATTCGCTGCCTTGTGGTCTGTTACATATACTGATAAGCTTATCACTTCCTGTCCCAGGGTGACAACACTGCTACCGCACTGTGAGCCCTTAAAGGAGAACTATGAGGTGAGTGCTTTTCACTCACCTCATAGTTCTAGCCGACATGAGACTGTCACAGGTCGGCTCAGTAGATCGGGAGGTGAGCGAACACATACCGGCGTTCGCTCGCCTCTCGATCCTGTCACGGCTCTCTGCCGTGACAGGGGAGGGGCTGGATTCTCTGATCCTCCAGCGCTGACTGGTGGAACGGAGGGGGAGGGGGGCAGGTACAGCTGTCTCTGCCTCTAGATAGGCAGAGCCAGCTGTCAGTCACGTAGCTGGGCGGATCCCGGCATAATCCGCTTCAGCTGCGGCGTCTCAGTATACCGCGAGCTACAGCTCGCGGTATACTAAGCCTAGGGTGATGGGAGGACGCTAGTTTGTGTCCTCCCGTTACCCTAAGGAGAACTATGGGGAAAAGCCCTGACCCCATAGTTCTCCTTTAAACACTTTAACAACAGCTGCTCTTGAACATGTAACAAATTCTGCTGTTTTGCTGATACTCGCTCCGTGGCTCCGAGCGCCAACAATCACCCCGCGTTCAAAGGCTGTTAAATCGCGTTGTTTCCCCGAATCTTCAGAAACAAATCACTTCTACTGTCGTGGTAACCAACCCGCTTCCCTATTTATAATGGTCTGGCCCTCTAGCAACTTCAGCGCCAAATTATAGCTAATTCGCCTACAAACGTCAGGTGGTCATAATAATCTGGCCACTCGGTGTATATCCTGGATAATAATACGCGGCTGCCGGTAATCACATCACCTCCAAAGTAACAAATCTCCTTTCATCTGCCTCTGGAAAGTACAAGGAACATGAAAGAGGAAGGAAGGAGACGCACACGAGAGGCCGTACGTCACCCGCGGTGGAATGGGATACTTGTGTGGTCGCCGGTGGAGGAAGTGGACGGAGGTCTCATGAGCTCGGCTGTGGTCACCGTGTGATGAAGTGATACTGATCGGCAGGAAGTCTGCGGGAAGATAGAAGTCTCGCACTCACCTCTTAATATTCCCGTGGAACAGGTCGGCCGCATGCAAGTGATGCACAGCTTGCAGGAGACCCGCAGCCACCGTCAGCCTCTTCTCCCAGCTCAGGACCGGCGGCCGCTCCTAGAGAAGACATTACGTGTCAAAAAGAGGAAATCAGTGATCAGCTTAAAGTGCAACGTGCTCAGTAATGTGTCCGTGTAACCCTTCCAGATATGTATTCCCTCTCACAGAGATCACATGACTCCCGTTGATGATGCCTTCATCTGCTTCTCTGTCCAGAAGGAAGGAGCCATCTTTGTTCAGGCATCATCCAGGGTCACCATCTACTTCCTGGACTTATATGCCGGCTCAGAGATGACGCAATCATGTAAATCCCGGAGCCTGTGCAGTACTTGTGTTCTCAAATGTCTTACAGGGATCAGCCCCGATGCAGCATCTCACCTTGTGACTTGCTACAATGTTGCATTACTGATCACTGGGGGGAGGGGAGACTGAGGAAATGCTTCCTCCTGCCTGCAGCAGACTGATGACATCATCTCAGCCTAGGCAGAGTCACTGGACTGGAACTCAAGGTCGGCGTTATGATGATAAATGGTGGAGCTTTCCTGAAAATTCCTGATACTGTTACTTAATTGGCAGTCACGCGGCGCCATTTTATTTGTCGGTGAACGGGACCCGGCAGGCAATGAACTTACCCCATGTAAGGCCTCGTCCAAGGAGCCGTTCTTCATGAACTGTGTGACAAGGCACCGATGTCCGCTCTCCAGGCAGAACCCCAGCAGAGGCAGCAGATTCTGGTGGTTACACCTGGAACATAAGAGAGAATATAAAGGGCCTAAAGTGACCGGAGAACCTAGGGTGGTCTACATGATAATCCGGCCTGCCTAGGAACGCCCACTTCCCCCCACTGACATCAACCAATCATTGTAATATTTGCATAACTCCTCCCATTTACGGTGGTGGTTCGTGTCCCCTGAAAGGGGATTTCCCCTCACTTCCTGTTCCAGTGACACCTTGTGTATCAGGAAGAGAAGGGAGGATGTTACAAGGATTGGAAGTAACCTACACCGAGGCAGTATGGAGGATACCATTGCTGACCTCTCCTCATAATGCCGGTCGTGTTGATCCTGAAGCTTCAGTACTTTCTAAGTCCAATTCAAGGTCCTGACCTCTGATCTGCATTCTTCTCCTGAAGCCAGGCACAGCCAGGAAAGTGGCATTTTAGAAAGGGAGTCAGCAATGGCCGCCTCCATCAGTAGTTCCTTCCTAGACACCCGTCATGTCAGCTCAGCGGTGACTGAATGGGGCTGGTTGAAGGTTCAGCTCTGCCGGAAGCTTGTCGTGAATCTTACCGGAATGTGATCTGCGCTTCTGTCTGGAAGAGGGAATGCAATCTGTCCGTCTGCTCCCCGTCCACCTAAACGGGAGAGAGGAATTATTCCCGGGTATTATATATATTTATATTATATACATAATAATTAGTTTCATTTTAACATGTTAAATGTTTATGATATT